TGAATGTTTTACAATTTTGTAGCTGTTAATAGTCAATTATTCTATGCCTAAACTTGAGAAATCATGATGCATGTCCTACCCCCAAAATCACTTTGTTTGATCAATGTTGTTATTTAACCTTTATAAATGAATCTATAATACAGGTTATTTGACAGTAGAGCGTACCTGTCTGGAGCGTTATCTAACCTAGGTATGGTATGGTGTAGCAGATCTTGCATATTCTGCCATCAGGACAGGTCAATGTTCAGTGTGTACAATAGCGCCACTGTTCTACGCTGTCAAATGCGTCTGAATGAACCACAGAGTTCGTAGTCCTAGGCCAGTTTGAAAAGGTCCCTTTGTGACTACTGTTGGAACTCTAGGATGTTTTGTGGCTCTGAGGCATTTGTTTCTGAATTCTTGCAGGTTTTCTTTTGTAGGTCCCCATGCTTATATTACCTTGTAGTCCTTGATTTGGATATGAATGGTGACTAGGTTTATTGTAAATAGTTGGGATGACTTTAGCTATTATAGGTGCCATGGAATGGTACGCTAGTCAGTTGAGTGTGAAACCTGCCTCGGTTAAACATTGCCAGCCATGGCGTGGTTTCTCTGTATTGGAGTGTGTGGCTACTTCATATATGAATTTTAGATTCTGATTGGTTGCAGTGTTTACTCACCAAACATTACATGATCCTACTCATTTAATAGAGCATGCTGATGCCTAATAAGCATTTCGTACCTACCCTCCCCTTTCCTGTTTGTATGGGTGCCCACTTTGCTAACCTCTGAACTGAAAAATGAGGAAGGTATTCATGCACATAAAACTACAAAATGTTGGCTAAAAAGAACTGTTTTCTCCATTGTCATAAAATAATTCTGGTTATCTGTTGTGTATATTCTGTTTTTCTTTGGAATTGATATATCCTAAAAAATCAATTTTAATCTGTAACATGGGTTATCTTAACTTTAAATCTCAGATTATTCTAGAGCACCTAGAAATACCCAAATGCAAACTTGACAACAGTGCATAGGCAGCATCTTAACTAATTCAATGCAAACATTCTCATTGAAAGTTCAGGCTGAATTCAAATAATACACTACTGAGCACATTACCGCACATATATGCAGTGCATTATGGGAAAAACTTCCTATTGTATATAATGGAAAACTATTATAAATATTATTTATCATATCAATATTAGGAAAGATATCTTTGCCTGGTTCCCCCTCCCCCAATTTTCGATATCCTATCCATAATTATTAAAGCAAGAAGTCGATGACTTCAAATCAATTCGGTTTAGCCTAAACCTCCTTGAATTAATTAGCAAAAATACAGGGTAGCTGAAAAAAATACTAGCATTATTTGAGTATTCGTAATGTATACATTGTTCCTGTTATGCTGATTATAGGCAGCTAGATTACCAAGGTGTGTCCCACTGTTCTCCTGATTGACATTAAAATAATACATTCAGATATGCAGACTTTGTTCACATGGAGAAGTTAGCTCTGTTTTTCAGTATCTGTGCACAAAGTATTTTGCTGTTGGCAATTAAGTGTACCTTTTGGTATATGTAGAAGCGTCGATCAGATCTTATCACTACCAAGTCACTGGGTAACAAACTTGTTGCATGTATATGACTAGTTAGTTGGTGTATGACCTATATGTATGACCCCCAACACAAGGTTACAGCTTGGTTGGTGACCTGCATACTAAGAATATACACAATATGTAGATGGCATGAAGTACATGTATACTTGTCTGCATTTTTTAGGGTGTGGCTCTATTTACTGTCTCGTCAGCGTTATTGTTCTTTAAACAAATTGTATTTTATTCATGATTTTACTGCTCACCGTATTTGCCGACCAAACAGTAGCCTAAATTCAAACACAAAGTATAAAACAAATATTTTCCTTCATTTTTTTTTTGTACCTTACATGACATACTTGAATATTTATAATATTAAATGATGACTTGTCTCCTATTTTCTATTAATGTTAAAATATTAAAAATAAAAGTAGTGAAGCAATTATGATGTTAATACTCTTTAATATGTACTTTAAACCATTTAATTTTCACTGCTAGATATTTTCTTGATTTCAGGATTGTATTGCACTTACACTGACATTTTCACTGACTTTCATTGGCTCATAAAATTTGCAAAAATTTGTCTCCTGAAATAAATGCTCTATGCTAATTGAGGCCACTATAATTGGTGTCTCAATTAGTTGTGTGTTAGTGATAATATAGACAGCAGGATAGCAGCTGTAATTCATACCATACATGTACACTGGGGTTAAGCATCAGTATGATTGATGAGTGATGTGATAATGACTATTTAAACATCCATCCTTCATCACCACACCAATGTGTATTGTCCCATTGCCACTCTCATTTCGATGTCCAAACTGATGAATTCTAGTTGAGTAAGGATTGTTATGTCTAGAGTAATTGAATTGTTTAAAAGTAAGTGCATCAGGCTGCAAAATTAAGGCCCCATCTCCCGACTAGGTTGTTGTTTTGAAGGAAATGCTGATCTCAATAACACATTGCCATGGCTAGATTGTGGTCTACATTTGAAGTTGAATTGAGGAGATTACAGGTGTTCTGTTCTCAAGTCTGACTTTTCTGGCACCATGTTTGATGGTCCTAAAGAGCTAGGTTACTGAAAAAACTTCTATCATATTTGTTGTAAAAGTGATGAGTTGCCCCAGCCATTGACCCAGCACTGTATACTTGTATAGTACTTAAACATATTTTATTTACTAGTGTTAGAGAGACAGGGAATAGTAGATATTGGAATGCTGCTCATTAGAAATTTTGGTAAATGAAACTCAAGAATCTACACTTGTACTGTTAATGCTTGTAATTTATTTGGGATCTTGACTTCCAGGGGTATTGACTTACTGCAGAATGTTTGTTTTGTTAAGGTAGCCATAGTGTTGAGCACAGAGGTCATTGTTTAATGGGTTTGTTATGGTTAATTGTTGAGAATAAAACTTGATTCTGGAAGCAACTTAGCGTATTATTCTCATTGAGTTCTTCTGAGGGAAATTAACTTTAACTGCTATTCAGCGGTACATGATCGTGTGATAGTGAAAGCATGTCAGTAGTTGTAGGTAGAGTGCTTCTGTTGTCATGTAATGTATCCTACAGTTGGATACCTGACAAAGTTCAGCTGGTTTTTTGGATCTTCCCTTCAAGTTAAATATTTCAAAAACTGGTATATTGACTATTGAGCAGTAGATTGCTCTGACCTTTGAGACGGCTGGGTACACAGTGTTGACATCTCATTCTTAAGATAATTGCAGTTGACAAACAGCTGCCAACTCTATAAAGCTTTCCCATAATTTTACTGAGAAACTGTTGGTGCTTTATTTATCAGTGACAATAGCCTGCTATCTGTACCAAGGCGTGAGGTTGTTGGCATGGAAATTGTGGAAGCCATTTTGGATTTTGCCTGTAAAGTCAATTCTCAATTTATTTGTCAAGGAAATGTTATTTACATGTTAAGTCTTGAAAGAATTGTATGATCAACTCTTTATTTTTTGTAATTGTAGTGGAATTATATAAAATGAAGATGTGAAAAATTACACAAGTTTTCATTTTCTTTTTACAACTATGTACTAGTCATTTACTACATAGAACAAAGTACATGATATATAAAATGACATTTGTGGAATGACCACAGCTAATTTAGTTTTTAATTTCAAACTCACTTGCATAAAATAAACTTCAAATTTCACCAAAATAAGGATTTTCTTATTTTGATGCTGTGAAATATTTCAGCAAACCCATGTGTTGTAATGTATCACTATAAAGTTGATGGCACCATAAATGTTGCGCTTTACTTGTGTACCCTACTCAGACACAGTAATGTGTCTAGCTTGATATGCCCCTAAAACCACCGTAACATCTGATGGAAAAAATGCCATACCTTGTCTATTGTGTGAGTGCAAGTATTTGGAATGGCAATAAAAACAATGTCTTGGACTGTGCCACATTACCATAGACATTCTTGAGTGCATTCCATACAGCTCACCTGAGTAACCTTATACCCCCCTATAGTACTGATATAAAAATACCTGCCCTAATTTACAACCAAAATTACACTCCCTAGTTAATGTATTCTTAAAAATTTCAATTAATAATAAGTGGCATGTAGATTTCAAAGTGATTTTTTTTTTTCTATTTTGTATTAAAAATTCTTATTCATGAACCAATCTACCATATAGAAACACTGTTCGCTCTTTTCATTCCATTCGTCAGTCTCCTAAATATTTATTTTCAGGACCTAATAATATGCAAGATTCTCAAAGATACCATATTCTCTCAATTATAGAAGTATATAATTAATAAAACACATGTTTGTTTTTTTTACATCTCTAATACAAATGCATATCAAAAATTTTAAATACTGGATAACTAAAATGACACGCCTCACCCGTGTTACAAATAAAGCAAATATGGTATAGGCATCTATTTATTGATAATAAACAATGTTTATAATTATTGCATTAGAATGGTAGTACATTGTATGTCTGTAGTGAACAGGAAACTGGCTTCTTATTTCCTGTTATTCAGTGGTTTAATGTTTGCTTGTTGGAAAGGAAATTCTGTGAGAAATATTTACATGTAAAGTATGGTAAAGGCAAACTGCTTGGCTATGTACAGTTGGTTGTGGGGCGGGGTAATACAGTGGTCGTTTGTGAATATTACATTTTATGATCACCATTCTAAATTCAGTTTATGGTTCACACATCTCTTATGAGGTAAAATAAATTTAATTGTCCCGTTGAGTGTCCAAAAAATAAATCTTGATCAATACCTGTAGGAATAGGACATTTTGTTGATTTGTTTCAAAATTCTTATAGAAAATTATAGAAAAATTACATAAACATTGTTCAATATTGCACCACTATGTTAGCAATTAGCTTCAAAGGTGATGTGCCTGAAAATACATACAGTATGATGAAGATAAAAAAAAAGTGACTTAATTCTTAACTCTTTTTAATTGCAGATCGTGAAGATCAGTCCATTCTTTGCACGTAAGTACATACAGAATTCTACAAAGCATGCCATAATTTGAAGTATTTGCTCTATTTGAAGTGCTTCTCCAGCAAATGATCACATATATAAAGCTAAAGCTTTCATTGTGCACTGGATCATTGAAATAAGACTCAACCATAGACATTATCACTGTTGTTTGCAAGCGCATGTGATAGTAATAGAACATACAATTTTGTGTAATCAGTGATGGCTTTCTAACTTGTCATGGTTGGCTGCTACATTAATCTTGTACTATACACAGTACATGTAGTAGAATGATACATTGGTTTCCATGTCATGCCACACACTCAGAAACTTGGCTTTTGGGGAATGGGGCTAATTATTGTTTCAGTTTGTATTTACATCGATTGAAACTGTATTGAAAAAACATGTAACTCGCCAACCGCAGCCACTTGCTTGTCTTAGGAAGTATACCTTGCAATTTATTCCCAGTGTTGTATGATCCCTGTGCCTGTATGTGCTTGGTTTCAAATAACACGTATCTGTCTACTCTACTCAATTCATGTACAAATCCCAAAGGTGTAAAATAAAGCTTTGTAAGAGGCAAACACATGGTGACCAACACTTTTTGATGAGAAATGATATCCGATTCCAACCTGCTAGTGCTAGTCACCATAAAAATTGAAGTGCATGATAAAGTAAAGGTCATAACCTTTCAATAAGTAGACCTTAGATCAAAATGGCCGCCAAAATCTTGTTAAAAGTAAGAGAGCCACAAGACTTATTTTCCATTCATTCTCGCCACCGCATCCGCTGTTCCAATCACTATGGTTACATAGATAAGTGGAAGATGTGGCCGACAGGAGCAAATGGAACGCTATTTGAGTGATGGGACTCTATCACTCTCTGTGAGATATTGGCATCTTAGGTTTATTACCCTTTGAACTAGACTTCTTGACAACTATTTTGCAATCATTGGAATTTCAGCTATGTTAAATCCTTTATTGTTATTGGTCATTGTAGTGGTAGTGTTGCCCCTAACAAGTGCTGTTTGTGTCTATTGTGGCCTAGCATATTAAATTATGCATTTGCACACAGTAAGCATAACTGTTAACCTCACTAATTTGTTAGTGCAATAATAATCAGCTTGCCAGCACAGTAAAGTAGGTGATAAACGAACACATGTCAGTGTTACACCATAAGATACCTAATCTCATTGCTTGGTGTTGAGTAATTTGAAATTATGCCATATCATATTTGCGGTGAACTTAATTTATTTAGTTGCAATCAAATGGTGTTTATTTACATTTCAACTAGTCAAAGAGAGCGTTTTTTTCTTGCTCCCTTGGGGCATGAATTCTCGCACATTGAGATAATATTTATAGCAATGGAGTGACAGTATGCATTCTTACAGCTAGCCTTTCAGATTCTCTTACCTAAATGAAAAGCATACCACCTTCTGAATGTTAATAGTGAATATGGCCACAACCACTTGTAGCATTTCAAACTCACCAAGCATGTACACTTGTAGCAGCATTTCAAACTCACTAAGCATGTACACTTGTAGCAGCATTTCAAACTCACTAAGCATGTACACTTGTAGCAGCATTTCAAACTCACTAAGCATGTACACTTGTAGCAGCATTTCAAACTCACTAAGCATGTACACTCGTAGCAGCATTTAAAACTCACTAAACATGTACACTTCTAGCAGCATTTCAATCTCACTAAGCATGTACACTCATAGCAGCATTTCAAACTCACTAAACATGTACACTTCTAGCAGCATTTCAATCTCACTAAGCATGTACACTCATAGCAGCATTTCAAACTCACTAAACATGTACACTTGTAGCAGCATTTCAAACTCACTAAGCATGTACACTCATGGCAGCATTTCAAACTCACTAAGCATGTACACTCATAGCAGCATTTCAAACTCACTAAGCATGTACACTCATAGCAGCATTTCAAACTCACTAAGCATGTGCACTCATAGCAGCATTTCAAACTCACTAAACATGTACACTTGTAGCAGCATTTCAAACTCACTAAGCATGTACACTTGTAGCAGCATTTCAAACTCACTAAGCATGTGCACTCGTAGCAGCATTTCAAACTCACTAAGCATGTGCACTCATAGCAGCATTTCAAACTCACTAAACATGTACACTTGTAGCAGCATTTCAAACCCACTAAGCATGTACACTTGTAGCAGCATTTCAAACTCACTAATCCTGTACACTTCTAGCAGCATTTCAATCTTACTAGTCCTGTACACTTGTAGCAGCATTTCAAACTCACTAAGCATGTACACTCGTAGCAGCATTTAAAACTCACTAAACATGTACACTTCTAGCAGCATTTCAATCTCACTAAGCATGTACACTCATAGCAGCATTTCAAACTCACTAAACATGTACACTTCTAGCAGCATTTCAAACTCACTAAACATGTACACTTCTAGCAGCATTTCAATCTCACTAAGCATGTACACTCATAGCAGCATTTCAAACTCACTAAACATGTACACTTGTAGCAGCATTTCAAACTCACTAAGCATGTACACTCATGGCAGCATTTCAAACTCACTAAGCATGTACACTCATAGCAGCATTTCAAACTCACTAAGCATGTACACTCATAGCAGCATTTCAAACTCACTAAGCATGTGCACTCATAGCAGCATTTCAAACTCACTAAGCATGTACACTTGTAGCAGCATTTCAAACTCACTAAGCATGTACACTTGTAGCAGCATTTCAAACTCACTAAGCATGTGCACTCATAGCAGCATTTCAAACTCACTAAGCATGTGCACTCATAGCAGCATTTCAAACTCACTAAGCATGTGCACTCATAGCAGCATTTCAAACTCACTAAGCATGTGCACTCATAGCAGCATTTCAAACCCACTAAGCATGTACACTTGTAGCAGCATTTCAAACCCACTAAGCATGTACACTTGTAGCAGCATTTCAAACTCACTAATCCTGTACACTTCTAGCAGCATTTCAATCTTACTAGTCCTGTACACTTGTAGCAGCATTTCAAACTCACTAAGCATGTACACTTGTAGCAGCATTTCAAACTTACTAAGCATGTACATTCATAGCATGTACATGTAAAATACAATTATCTGTGAAAATGTTGCATGATTTTTTTTTATTCCAGTGGTGAATCTGGTGCTGGTAAAACAGAAAACACCAAGAAAGTTATACAATACTTGGCCCATGTAGCATGTTCAGCAAAAAGTTCCAAGTCGTCATCACAGACCATACATTCAATACAGGTAGGCCACTCTGCTGACTGGTTGTCATGACTTTAACATGTTATTTTTTTATTTATATTTATACACTGGTTTGCCTGAAATTTACAATATAGTATGTTTTAGTGTTAATAATATGAAAATCAAAACTACTAATGTCCTGAAGGAGGCATACAAAAAAATGAGGGAGTGGCACTGCAGCCGCAAGGTTAGGATTATGAGGGAGGGGGCCCTGAAGAAACCCTTACTGTGTTTATTACAAAGTTTGTATTTGCCAATATTTCCAACAAAAACTATGGAAAAATATATCATTGTAAATTCAGGCGAACCATGTACGTGTACCCCAGTCAACTTTGGCCATCCTGTTCATGTGGTTTGCTGTTCAGTTTGGCCATATTGTCTGCTTGGTTTTAACATGCGTGTTATTGTGCTGTGTACAGTGTTTTTTCTTTGCAGTGGTAATATACTCGGACATACAATCCAACCAAACACCTAGGAGTGCAGAGTAAACATCTTAACACTGATTTGGTAGTAAGTTTGCATGACAATACTTAGATCAAGTCTTGTCATGTTTGCTTTTGTTTTCCCATGCATTTTCTTTCCTACAGTGTTAACATTGTTTTATTTCAGTGAGTGAAATGTCCTGAGGTTTAACAAATTTAATTCTGTTTACATTCAAGTTTTCTCAATTCTTTCTGCAAGAAGAAAATTGCACAAAAATAGGGAAATTTAATGATCTGATCAATTTGATATCACTTAAAATCAATTGAGGATAATATTGGTTGAAGGATGGTATGTCAGTTTGGGTGGGGGACATCACTATACAAGTCATATCACATTGCTTTTTCCCCCCTTACACCTGCTTTTCCTTTTCATCCATTCTTGTTGATATCCATTCTTTCTACTCTCTATTCACCTTCATTGCTGCAGTTATTTCATGGCACAGAGATCACGTCACCAAATCTGAAGTATCTTTCTGTGCCATGGAATGCGATCTCAATTGACCTAATGCCAGCTGTGAATCACTTACTTAGATGTGCTGTATTTAGTGCATATACCAAGGAGAACTAATTTGGATGTGCTGTGTTTATTTGGGGTCAATCGTCAGGGATAATCTATTTCACTGGTTCACTGGCAATAGGTCAGAACTGCAGCCATATTGGACAGAGACTAGATCGACCTTTGACCTCTTTTCCAGTCCTTTAAATGTCCCTACACAGGTGTTGAGATACAGATAGAGAAAGCACCTAAGAAGCTTAGCAAGGTAATTTATGACTGTGTGTCACATGGAAACTAATACTAATACTGTACCTGTGTGCATGCATGGTTTGTAGAGCCAGGGAAAAATAGATTATATCCTGAAATTTAAACCCTCAGTTGTTCGTTAAAACGTTAAATTTTATGAATAAATTTTGTTAATGTATTCTTTTTTTTTATTTAGTCTGGTTATGTGAATTATTTTTAAATTATTTATTACTGCTTGTGTCATTATTTGGATTCTTCCTCAAAATAGTTCCTGTAACAATGCTGTCTACTGCAGTCTACAATCACATACTTATTGGTATTGAACTGTAGTACCAATCCTAAACATGAAAAAAGAATGAATAAACATAAAGTGCTGTGGAGCCTTGTTACAGCTGTTTATTTAACCTCTGATCCAGTCAAACCTTTCTGGGTGGCCTCATGTCTGGTTGTTCTTCACATTGTAGTTTCTGCTCTAGCAACAGACTTTCTACCCTAGCAACAGACTTGATAGAAAAGCGAAATCCCATTTTCTCTATTTTTGTGACAATTTTACTGCAATACTGGCAATTTTAATTTTTTGGGGGTCTTTTCAGAAAAACAAATTTGTTCGCATTTATGAAAAATCTATTTCCCAGTTTGAATAGTTAGATGGTAGTTGGTTTGAATGTGATTTGCACAGTATACTGATACATGTATGGGGTTTGACGTTATTAGTTTAATGCATGCGTGTCAAAATAAGGATACAATGTATCTGAAAACATACAGGATGTATAGTAGACCTATAATTTAATTTACTGCGTGTTTTTAACAGTATTGCTGTTATTTAAGTCTAACTTGTATTAACAAAATTGAATTATGTGTATTCTGAAGTCATGCAAAATAAGGGTATCCATACCTCTCTTAGTCTGGTAATGCAGACAAAGTGGCCTTGTTAGAAACCACAAAGAGACCCTTCTCAGGTTGCAAGTTGTACCCTTGAAAATAGTATTTCATTGGAAAAGAACAAACAGAGCATAGTTAGAATAGTGAATAAGTGGCATGTCTGTAAAGCTGTAAGAAAATCACAAGTAGGTTTAATGAATTTGTCAAGTTTTAGATTGATAATATGACCTTGACAGTGGCCAAGATATGCATACCTACTCAACCTTTCGGTATCCTATTGCTGTCTTGACCACACCCCCCAACTCTGTATTTTCATTTTCACTGATCTCTACTCATAGCATTCATAATTCCTTTATGCTGTCTGCTCACAAATGCATTCTTAATACTTGGCTTGTTTGTGGTGAATATTACACTGTTTACTTGGTACTCGGAATGCCATCTAGGTTCTACCTGGGACTCAGGATGGCATCTAGGTTTGGTCTGGTACTCAGGACGGCATCTAGGTTCTTCCTGGTACGCAGGT